TGCTATAAGTAATAGATATGTATATATCCATGGTGCGGTTTACTTTATATTACTTTTAAAAAATCAATTTTTCAAAAATATTTCCTCAAAATTGATGAAAAAACTTTATGGGTTAATTGTACCTAAATAACCCCCGTTTTTTTGCCTGGACCGCATTTAATCAGAGACAAAGCTTTTATTCGTATTCTTTATTTTCTATGCATTTCGGGTGCAATATTTTCTTTAATTTGTACCCCTCTTCAGGATTTTTACATTTCTATAAATTTGGTAAATTTAATTATTACATCGGTAAATTACTACATTAGTTATACAATGGTTAACTAACCTGTTTTAAGTTTTAGATCGACATCTGCCCAGTGTTGATGTTATGTCCCCTAAGGCATTTTTATATGCTCCTAAGCTTTCCATATCTGGTCTCAGATTTCATTTTTCTAACTCCATTCTAGAGACTAAGGACAGACAGACTGACAACAGTAGTATTTATACGTCTACAAATTTTTCCAATTGCAACCAATAAACTGGATGAAGCTGAAAAAATATACCAATACAAAAAAATCCAGCAGCATAAACACTTTACTAGACAAACTTTTTCAACCATCTGTTTGTTACACATGCTGTTGAAACCAATAACATCAATGTTCTTTTTATTTACAATTTTTGTTCAAATTATTAGGTTAAAACTTGATGATGATCATTTAAGACAGTTGAAAATGTTTGTTTATCTAGTAAAATATTTATGCTGATGGATTTTTTGGTGTTGATTTATTTATTTGTAACAAAATATACATTTTGATATACTATGTGTAGACACTTTAAAGATGTAATATTCTAATAATAGTATTGTTATTGAATATAATAAAATAGAGCTAATATTATCAACTCTTTTACATACAGTTGTAAGCTTTAAACACAATTCAGCTGTCAAAATTAGAAAATTTTAATATATTGATACAATAATTTTAATTTTCAAATGTTTGAAAATTAAAATTATACTGCATTTTTAAAGGTTTGAGTACTGTGGTTTATGACAAGTGCAGTTTTCTACTTTAAAAGATGTATCTGTTACAATACAGACTTCAAAAATGAAGAAAATTTTCAGTCATTATTTAATTTTTGTTTAATAACAAACTATTTACAAATGTATATAATTCATTAACACTTTTATGAATAATATAGTTGTTGAAATTTATGTTGTAATAAAAACTGAAAAAATAATGATTGATAGAAACAACTACTTTTTACAGTTTAATTAAATGATTATGGACTGATCCAAAACTTAACAAAGAGATAGAGAATAATTGAGGGAGGTTGGAAATATTTATAGAAATGATGACATAAATTCAAGCATTTTGATTTTCATGTCATAAAATTATAATTTAATAAATAATTGTTCT